TTATTGATGTTCATGACATGTGTTATGTCATGTTTATGACAGTGTCATGACAGTCTTATTCACCCCCCTTCAATTAAAGTGTTACCAGCTACTTTTATTAATTACCTCCAGAATGTCTTTAAGGGATCATGATACATTAGACAAAATCACTTTTTCTTTCTAGAACTTCACATTTTTCCTGTTTCCAGGCATCAGCTACTGTATCGTGTTTTAGTACCTTTCCATAGGATCCTTGTCCGAGCACCTTCAATAACTGGAACTGAGACGGGTCTGCTTTCTCACAGCCTTCCTTAACATGGTGGCTGATGTCAATCTCTTTAAGTACACTGTCGTCCTGAGAAAAGAAATGCAGACATCATCATTTGCACTTTATTTACTCATTCAAAAGTTGTGTTTGTACAACCTGATTGACATAAACAGCTCGACAGGACAGAAAGAGGGAAAACTCTAAACTAAATGGATACAGAAAAGGCCCAAGTTATTAAATATTAGTATTTCTATTTTTTTTTATTATTCTGAGGCTTCTCGCCCTTGCTTCTGTGAAGTAGATCATTGTCATCCTGCAGAATCAAAGTCTAATTGAGCTTTAGATCAGGTACTGATGCCTGGAGATGATCCTTATGGCAAGTTGTCCAGATCTTGACGTAGCAAAGCATTCTGAACCCTCACAGGTTTTAACGTTGGTCTGTGTCTGAAATGCCATGTTGGTTTTAGGTAAGATGTGACATGACACGCATCAAAAGTTTCCTCTTTTGTCCCCGAAGTCCACAGAATGTTTCTCCAAAATACTTGATGTTTTTTGAAAGATATGAGATGGGCATTTCTGTTTTTTGATCAGCAGGGATTCTGGCCTTGGAACTCTTCCACAGACACCATTTCACCCAGTTTCTCTTTCTTATTGGTAAACCTTGAACTCTGACTTTAACTGGGACAAGTGAGGCCGACAGAGGTTTAGATGTTGTTCTTGGTTGTGTTGACCTTCTGCACTAATCGTCACTGCGCTCTTAGAATCGTTTTGGTTGACCAGCCTCTCTTGGAAAGGCTCAGCCCTTGCTCCCCTACTTTTCCTTTTTTTTTTCAGCAGACAGAAGGGGTCTTTTTAAATGATTTATTATATTTGCTGGTCAGGTAACAAACACGCCTGGGTCTGAAATGGGAAACTGAGCTCAGCTTTCTAAAAAAAAAAAAAAAAAGTTTCAATCATAGTTAAATCCTTATTTAAAATTGGGACAATTAATTTTTTCACAAAGGCCCAGATGGGTTTAGATAGCCTATTTGACTTAATGAATTAATTAATAATTTTAAAACTACTTTTTACATTTACTCTGGTTATCTTTGTCCAATATTACAATTTGTTTGATGATATGAAACATTTAGGAGTGGCAATCAAGCAAAGCCAGAAGAAATCTATGAGAAGCAAATATGGTTTACTCAGCACTTTACATTTATCTCTCCCAAATGCCTAATTGTGATAAAATTTTGCCTGCCAACTAGCTTACATTGAACACGACATCAACTCTTTTCCCTGCTGGTGGTGGGCCAACTTCGAGGATGCCTTCTGTTGGCTCTTTGGGTCTCTGCCCTGCTAATCCCCAGTAGCCAAGGCTTGACTGCTAGGGGCTCAGCAACATTTTACACATCTGTTGCTGAGGCAACCAACTTTCTATTGTCATCTGAGGCCGAATAATGTGCTGCAATAAACATACTGCAGTTTACTACAGGAATAATAACCATTCTCATACTAATTACTAACAAGAGTAATGCTTAAATCTCCAATGAAGCAGGAAATAAAACTGTGAGATCGGTTTCTGCCAGGATAGCAAATTACTCTAGTGCCATCTTTGTGCTGGGTTTAGTTAGGCTCTGAAAGAACAAACATCATTTACTGTAATAATCTCCAGTAACCAAATGCATGCATCATGTTAGATACAAATACAAAATACAAATAAATGCAATCACTTAAGAAATGATCACAAATGTCCCATGTTTTTACTGTTTCAGTAGGTTTTAAGACTTATTTCTTCACTACTGACTTAAAAAAATAACACCTTTCCAGACATTTGCTGAAATTTAAATATATTTTGCCAATGACAGATCATATTAATTTTAAGATAAAGCTATTTGTTCCAGATAGGATTATGAACTCAAGTAAGCACTCTCATTTAAAAAATTGTTTGTTTGCTTGCATGATAATACATTGTAATAAATTACTTCTGTTGTAACTCACAAGCTTGCAACAGTAAACTTGTTGCAAGTTCAATAAATCACCATAATGACTTTGTCAGGGACGTAATAAATCTTGCATGGAATGAAATTGGTTAAACAGCTCTTTAACTTGTTTTATATTTGATCGTTAAACTTAATTCACATTTTTAGCAGACCAATGCAAGAGGTCAAGCCAGGTGTTTAAATGAGACACATCTGTGTCAAGTTCATAAGAATATCTTCTGACAGAAAACCATGTGTAATGTCTATAGGCTGCACAGTTTTTAAAAGGGAAACAGATGTGTTTCCAAAAAGAATATCCATGTAAGCGTTAGAGTGCGCGATTACCCAGGAGGCACAGCAGCTTTTAAGCCAAACATCCAGCTCTTAGTCAATTGATTTATTGAAACTGGACAAGGACAAACAGGGAATGGATTTGATTCTGGACACGAAAAATGTTTCCAGCATTTTGTTAATGGTAGTCTTGCCCCAAAGCAATCTAGCATTGTTCTCTAGTTCTCTATAAAGAGATCTGTAACAAACAGATCTCTTTATAGATCTTCACTATAAACTAAACTTCACTCTCATTTTACAATATATTAAATCTGAGACCAAACATTCATGAGAAAAAAGTATTTACCGAGATAGCTGTTGGTAAATCCAAATGGATTTCCTTTTGGCTTCCCCTGAAATGCATAGGAAGGGTCACATGCAGCTCAAAATGTAGAATGTAGATTTAAGGCAATTTTGAGTATGACTATTTTTTAATTCTTTATATCTCCATTGGGATATTTGTCAGCACAAAGAAAACAGGAAGGCCGCTTAATGTTGGCTTGGCGTTCAGCTTGCTACTCATTCTCAACTAGCATTCATTAAGTTTGACATGCTGTGTTTCTGTGATACATGAAGATTTTCATCATATTGGTTTTAAAGCATGAGTCAGTGGAAAAACATACCAGATTGAACTTGAAGCCTATGCAGATTTTCCCTATACTCCAACACCATACCCCATAACAAAAAAAAAAACATCAGGAAGCACTAATAACACCTCTGTCTCAAATAAGTTTATATAAAAGTCCTTCAATAGTTTGGCTAGAAAGCAGTCACTGAGCAGCAACTACTTTGCCAAGATTCTAAACTAGCTTCTTTATTCAATTCCATTTTAATATTCAAAGATGTTGTGATCTAAACCATTTCATTGTACCTGTGTGTTTGGTGTCTCCTAGGTGATGAACCTCCTTCCACCTCAGTTATAAATCTTTAGCAGTATCTAACAAGTTTACTTGCAGCATTATAGCTTATAGTTGCAGCAGATACTCCCACCCCTATGTTGGGAGAAAGGTGTTTCAGTAGTGATGTGTAGTGTTAGTTTTCCATCACATAGTAACAGATGACTTCTGTAAGAAAACTGTTTAACCGTATCATGTTTAGGAGTATTCAGAATGAAGAAGGAGGACAGTGGTGTACAACGCAAACCTCTGTGGCAATCTCAAGTGTTTTGCAGCGTTCAACAGATTTCCATTCAGGACTCTGTCTGTTTTTCCATAAACTTCCCCTTTGCTTGCCAAAGGGGAACTTTTTTGCATGGAAACTTCAAAGTTCAGTTTTGATCTCATGTAATTGAACAGTTGATCGCTAAAAAAAAAAAAACTCATTAAAATACTTTCAGTTTGTGACAAAATGTAAAGTTTAATGTTTGTGAATATTTGTCATGGAGGGCAGCGACTATCATCCAGAGAGCTAGAGATAGAGAGTCACTCAAACAATAATCAAATGGTCACTCGAGCTGATCTAGCAGCATTCACAACAGGAGGTCTCGGAGAATGTTTTACTGCATTTATAGCTCAGACATGTAGGCAGGTGAGCCGGACGTCTCACACTGTGACCCTGCTGGTGTGTTTGGGTTATAAATAGAACTCCACTGCTGTGGCTGTCAACTGAATCAATCTGTCTAGATCCATGTATTGACCAACCTGGCTGCCTCTGCTTTGTATTTCCCTGTATGACAGTGTGTCCTACACCCGGCCTCTCTCTGCCAAAAACACATCTCCTGTGGGCCTCAGGCTTTGGTTCTTGGCAGACAGAGAGAAGGGCAAAAACTAGCACTGCTTTCTGGATAATTCTGCAACACTTTTCACACCAGTGAGCTGTGAGTCAGCTGTCTGTGTTTATGTTTTGAGATATTGCCTGTCCAGCTCCAGACATCAGTACACACACACACACACAGATCCCAACAGTGATGCAGCTGCTTTCACACGTGCATGCCTCTCGTGTCTGATCAGACGTAAAAAAAAAAAAAAAAACGCCTAGCTGACATCACGACTAACCTCCAGCTGACAGAACCCGGCGCTGTTCTTGTTCCGCGCTGCTTTGTTCTTCAGGTAGATGGAAAACCATCTCCGCACTGTAAATTTACGCGTGCTTGTATCCATGGCAACGATCAGACCCGCGCATCTATCCCATAATGATGAACATCTCCCCGTAGGAGGAGGGGGGCTCCCCAAGATAGACGCGCAGTAACACACGGCTCTTCTTTTAGGCTCCCTATTTGTCCCGCAGTTTCCCTGTTGGCGCATCCTCAATGCAGCGGTCGCTCTGTGGCGTCTCCATCCTCTGCGCTCTCCGCTGGTGGATCTCAGCTTCGGCGGGAACCCAGCAACTGAAAGCGAGTTGTAACAGAGCTGTTAATCCACGCAGCGGATTGATGACTGCTGCTTGGTTTAGGATTTCCCTCCGTGTTTTGCAGCAGGCTCGCTGCGTAAAAAGGCTGCAGGGGTAGAGGTGACGAATAAATCCGTTCCGCTGAATCAGGAGAGTGCGCGCAGCTCCCTTCTCACATCTCTACCTGGCATGTTTGTGTTCATCTTCCGCTCTCCTCTGTCTCTCTCTCTCTCTCCCACCCTTTTTGCGAAACAAGGGATTGTCACCAGTCACATTGTGCGCCACAGGGAAGCTCACCGACCCCTCACCATTTGTCTCCCTCCCTTTCACCTCCTGTCTTTCCCAACAGCCACACAGCAACAGCTGGTGAGGTCACATGGTGCAAACCTGCAACCTCTCCCTGGCTGCCTTTTCTCCTTTGCAGCATCCGCACTCGCAGATTTAGAAAGCGTATTTTTTATAACGAAGACAGCAACATGTCAGCATGCAAAAATACGGCGGCATTAGAATTCAACATAAAATGCCGAGTACAGCAGCCAATAATGATGACACAAATGAGGCCAGCAGTCACACGGGGAACAGCATGATCTGTTCTGATCACTAAGCATGTGTGCGTTTGCGTTGGAATTTGAATCTGTCACATCAGCAGCTTTTGCAGGGCTGCTGTGTTACATAACCTCAGAAAGAAGCAGTGATACATGGCAGCCAGACCACGTTGATGGGAGCTGGTGGGGGGCAAATGAGGACTGCTTCTGGGGTTAACTGTCTGCAGCTGAGCTGAGGTTAAATTTCTGTAAGGTTCACCTAAAACACTCCTACAGGGCCGCAAACACTTCAAAGTCCAGGACACAGAAGTCACAGTGCAGTTTTCACATGTTTGGCTGAATCTGGGTCACACTTTGGTCACATCAGGTACACAGTTTTTTGGGGCATTTTAGGACTATTGGAAAATGTAATCAAATGTGTTCAGTCAATCTGCTGTGCTCTGCTGTGGGCGGAGATTCAGGATTATGGACTGATGTCTTTGTCCTAGTGGGATTAAGGCTCTGTAAGGAGATCACAACATTAATATTTATACCCCACAGCCTGTGAGACAGACAGACTCAAATATACCAGTGTATCTATGCTGGATCACACTGCAGAAAGAAAGAAAAAAAACTGTTAACACCCTGTCTCATAATTTTGTCAAATTGTCTTACAGTGTAATCCCAGCAAATTGTATTTATAAATTCCTATTCATTATGCATTTAAAAAAAAAAAAAACATTGTATAAAACAAAAGAGTTGATGACACCAATGAGAATCAAAAGGATACATTTATTCATATTAAAAATAAGAACTTACAGCATTGTGCAGTTGCTAATTTTAGGACATTTGACAGCAGAAGATATTATTTAACATCAAATAATCAGTTTGCTACACATAAACATAACCTGAGGTAACAGGTGATTAAAAATAATCACTGTTCATGAATAAATCTGTCATCACAGGCGCTCCATGTTTATTTAACATTCTAGAGTATCATTTCATATACTTGGCAAAAATTCAAAAAGGCAGAACAATCATCAGAAAGGTCAAATAAATGACAAAGAAGTTACAAAGTAAGGCACTTTCCTTTAAAGTAAAGGCCATTTTCATCCCACCCAGGACAAAGTGAAACCTTGCAAATTGCCCTGAATCAAGACAATTCCAGCTAACAAGAAAAAAATACAGAACAGAATTTGAATGGGATGCGTTTTAATAGCGACAAATCACAAAACCTCTGTTTTGGTTTTACTGGATGTAGGTGTTCAAAACAAGGGATCATAAAATTCTCACTGACAGAATGGCAAAGTAAGCAAGATTGTCTGTTGCAGTGCAAAACAAGTGTGATCCTCTTCGACAGATTTGAACTACTTTGTGACATTTGGTGATAATAAATCAGGTCAAGCAAAAATCCCATGTGGAGTACCTCAAGGCTCTAAGCTTGGGGTATTTTTCTTCAACATCTATATGATCCCATTAGCTCAGACTATGGAGTATTATATTTCCCACAGTATCCAGCAATATAAAGCGGCTGGTAAAACGCAACTTTATATTTTTGTGTCCCTACATATCAGTAATTATCAGTGTCTTCAGTCAGACCCGAATTCTCATAAACAATTGAAGTCTATCATCAAGTAAACCTAATAAATCCTTAAAAACATTTTCAGTATCAGGGGCTTCCTCTGAAAAGAGGACACAAAAACTGACTGTACTAAACTGAACATTTTAGTTTCCATGAGTGTTTTACATTTGTTGCTGTATATGCAAACAGCATTGTTGTTTAAGCCAACTTGAATTCAAGCATTCCTCAAAATGTGAAACTAATTATATTTATAAACCTGACAGAAACTCAAAATCGTTAAATGTGAATACTAAACAGGGTGAAATGGGTTGCTTATTAGTGTACATGCTAAATTACGATCCATTTACGAACAAAAACTAACTATTTTTGTCCATAAAAAGGTAAAAGGAGATATAGCTCCCCAGTTTGAACATGTTTGCATTTAAGAATCAGGTGGGTAATAAACTGGTATGTCAGGAGAACACACACTGAGTCCAGATGATTTGTTTTGGTCCCACTGTCCTCTTGAAAGAGTATTAGTGGCAAAGTGTTTCTCACAGTCATACAGAGTGAAGTCAGCATCAAAACAGATCTCAATCTGTCCCAAAGTCTGGGGCTCAGAGTTCTGTCAACAAACAAAGAAACAAAAAGAAAAAACAGTAAACATAATTATTGTCTAATACAAGTTTCATAAACTTTACAAACAAGGAAACATAAATAAGTTGAATTGTTTAAAGAAAAAAAAAAGCTGTTTATACCGTTGATGGATGCAAACATTGGATCTTGGGTTTCACGCCATAGAAGTTTTCCATCGCTTGCTCAATATCTGAAAACTGCAAAAGTCACAGAAATATTATTACTGTTGTGACAGAATGTAGTTTCATAAATCCAGTGCAATAGATAAACTTACAGTGTAGTATTTGTCAGAGGGGGTAATGTTAGCCTTCTGCAGCATGCTGCAATAAAACATTACAGATCTTCACTTTAACTGATGTTGAGTTTTACCGAAAGAAACATGAAATAAGTGAAACACCGGGCAACAAACATGGAGAGTAAACATAATTCCTATAAATCACCACGGTACAAAGATATAGATACAGAAATGTTCAAAATGACAAAGCCTGCATGTGAGGCAGGGATGTTCATGCAGGTGTGTGTGAAAGAATGTGTAACCAACATTACCTGTTCAAATCCACCTTCTGATACAATTCCAGTGCCTTGCTGAAATACTTGTGTTGACTATTCAGCGAATCAGCTTCTGCTGCACATGTTCCATGTTTAGACCACTCGTACTTCCTGTTGCAAAAGGAAATTCATTTAACTGATAAACCAAAAACTAAAACATGCAGATCAACTGAAAGTTAATACTATAACATTTTACCAGACAACATTATTTATCTCTTTTTCTTCAGTTTTGATCAGTTTTTAAGATCAAAACACTTTTCTTATCAATTTGGTTTCATCCCATAAAATCAAATCTATCTCACAATTCCAGTTTGCAGTAAATACAAAAATTAAACAAACTGCTGTGGATCAACAAAACGGTTTTACAAGATTTTAAAAAGTGTCTCCCCATCATACTTTTTAAGCATTCAAATATGTGCAAAACTAATAATCTTGTTACATAAATAAAACCTTATTTTTACAAATGCCAGACACCAAAATATGTCTCGTAAAAAAATCCATGCAAAAAGCAAAAGCTTGTGCTCACTTCCTAATGATCAGGCACTGAAATTTCATTTATTCCGCCTGTCTCGGACATCCCCATTGCAGTAATGACTTCCTGTCGGTGTGTTGGCTTTTAGTTTTTTTGTTCCGCAACTACAGCTCCCCCCACCCTCTCTCTACCCCTCCCGCAGCGCCGTTTGGTTTGCTTTACCAACAGTGAGCAAAGATTTTTTTTTTTTTTTTTTTTTTATAAGTATTGTGATTCGGGACACAGAGCAATAAGCACATTCAACTCTCGCTTCCACTGATTTATTTAAATGTTCAAGACTTAGCAGATGTGACTAGCTAAAGCTAGCTAGCTTCTTCTCTATGTTCCTGAGCAGCCGTGGTATCCTTGCGCGTGCACGCAACCGGGTCAACACAGACAGGAAATGTTCCGTTTCATGTATATCGATGGTCCTGTGCCTTGTGTTGAGCTTCGAGTTATTAATTTAGGAAGACTTCAGTGTTTCAGAAAGTTGTTTTTTTTTTTTTTTGTTTTTTTTTGCCATGCTGACAGTGACCGGTTCATTCTGTTTGTGTGGCGAGGAGTTCCGCGGAACAAGGTAATGGCGGATACGGGAGCTGCAGCGACCAAAACACTACGGTATATTTCTCCCTTCTTGTATATATCAGCCAATTCTGTGAAATTCAGTTCAGCCCAGACTGTGAACCAGCTGACCAGCTTCCTTTTTATTTTAATGCCGGTTGTCAAACGACTACAAGAAGCTGTACATAGCGCCTCGCACTGTACAGGTCGGGCTACGTTAAATGACGTCATCATTTGATATATAAATTTTTTTCCACCGTGTCAAAAAATTCACCGGTATTACCATAAATGAGACGATATGGAACACCACTGCCAATAACCCAGTTTTACTAATGTAAAAGCAATAATAATATTATATATTAAAGCAATATTAAATGAACACAACCTCAAGAACTTAGGGTATGATTTAAAATCAGCAACTGAAAGGATCTATTGACATATCGATGTATAAATGTGTGAGCGTTTGTGAGTGCGAATGGATGAATGTGACTCTAGTGTAAAGCGCTTTGAGTGGTCAAAAATGATTGGTGAAAGCGCTATATGAGTTCAGTCCATTTACCATTTATCTAGATGTTAACAAATGCAGTGAAATGTTCCCTTTTATTATTTTTGAATGACTTCTATGAGTAATGATCTAATAGTACTAATAAAAAGAATACATGTGTTAAATTAGCATAATGATAGTTTGATACGTTATGACCAAAACTAGGCCCCAAAAACAACTTTTTCATAAAAACAAAACAAACAAAAAAAACATGCTGACTTAAAGGATGAGACATACCAGAAGTGAAAAGAAGAAGGATTAAGCAGGTCTGGCCAAACCTTCTTCATGTCTGGGATCAAGTCCTGAGAAAAAACACACCAAAAAAGATTTACTTTATACATTAAAATAAGGTTCATTTTGAGTCGCAAAGGGAGTAAAATATAAATTTGTTCACCTTTTCAAAATAGCTTCAGTATTACACAACCAATATCTTAATAGTCAAAGGAAATGTTTTATTTCTGGGTTATCATAGTTCTGTACATGTGTAGTGTTAGAAAGACTGACTGGAGAAGTGCTATACCTCTATTTCAGTGGCGTTGAAATGCCAGGAAGAATTACAGAATTCCCCTTTATCAGGCCTGAAACACAGAGAGATTACAGAGAAAAAAAATTACATACAAACTTAGCAAA